ACTCCTGTGGCCATCCCAGCTGCACTGCTGTGGCCATCCCAGCTGCACTGCTGTGGCCATCCCGGCTGCACTCCTGTGGCCATCCCAGCAGCACTCCTGTGGCCATCCCAGATGCACTCCTGTGGCCATCCCAGCTGCACTCTTGTGGCCATCCCAGCTGCACTCTTGTGGCCATCCCAGCTGCACTCTTGTGGCCATCCCAGCTGCACTCCTGTGGCCATCCCAGCTGCACTCCTGTGGCCATCCCAGCTGCACTCTTGTGGCCATCCCAGCTGCACTCTTGTGGCCATCCCAGCTGCACTCCTGTGGCCATCCCAGCTGCACTCCTGTAGCCATCCCAGCTGCACTCCTGTGGCCATCCCAGCTGCATTCCTGTAGCCATCCCAGCTGCACCCCTGTGGCCATCCCAGCTGGACCCCTGTGGCCATCCCAGCTGCACCCCTGTGGCCATCCCAGCTGCACTCCTGTGGCCATACCAGCTGCACTCTTGTGGCCATCCTAGCTGCACTCTCGTGGCCATCCCAGCTGCACTCCTGTGGCCATCCCAGCTGCACCCCTGTGGCCATCCCAGCTGCACCCCTGTGGCCATCCGAGCTGCACTCCTGGGTCTCCCTCCGCGGTCCTCTTTTTCTGAACTGAGACTCCCTGTCCCGACCATCATCTGGATGGCTCCACCTGAGGTCCAAGCAAGTCAGACGCCCCACACCCTCATTTCCAAACCTGTCCTCATGCCTTTTTCAATTTCCATTTCCATCCTTCTTGTCACCTGGCTAAAAACATTAGTTGGGGAGCGATCAGAGCTCCCCAGTTCGACAGAAAGAAGCCTCTCAACCTGCCACTCACGCCCACCCCCCTTTCCGCCTCCTCATTCATCACACTTCCAATGACAGCTGTCAGCCACATTCTCGGGATCCCACTGCTGGGCTGCCCCCTCCTCCACCTTCACAGGCCCAATTTCTTCCCTCTTAGGGCCCTTATCAAGTTCCACCTCCTCTGAGACTCCTCCTTGATTTCTCAGCTGGAAACAGTGGTGATAACAGCTAACTCATGTTGGGGTTGGTTGGCCATGTACATCGCCTCATCTCAGCCACATCAGTCACAGGTGGGAACTGTAATTCATATCATCCCCATTTTGTAGCTAAGAAAACTGAGATGCAAGTGCATTTTTCTAAGGTCCTGTACTCCAACTCAAACATAGTCTGCCCAACTTGGGAGCTCATCATTTAAACAGGATGACTCCCTCCCACGTTATCTGTTTAAATGTTCTTCAAATGGTATATGTACGTAGTTGACAACATCCAATACTGCAGAAAACTACCTGGGCTTCCTGGGGAGACCACCCGTCTCAGCCCTCTCCCTCCCCACTTCTGATTCCCACTTTCCCGCGGTTCCATGTCTCTTTCACCTCTGTGCCTGGCCCACAGTGAGCGATCAACACATGTTCGCTGTCAACCATCAAATATATGACGAGTAACTATTATGTGCCAGGTGCCACGCTCAATGAAGTTGTAATTGCTGTCTTCAATGATCCCTCCTCTCCCGACTCCCTCAGTCCTGCTCTTCCCAGCCATTCCCCATTATCGGGTTGCAGCCAGGCCCCGAACCAGTTACTGACACTCAAGTGAACCAAGGAAAGTTCCATTCACTCTTTTCTGGTGTCCGTGTCCTGGTGTGTAAATTAGTTAGCATTAAGTTTGGCTGCATTTACCAGGGACTCCAAGTAACAGAGGCTTAACCAAGACAGAGGCTATGTCCCTCACTCAGTCCAAGGCCAATACGGCATCTCAGCTCCACCAAGTCCTCAGGGACCTGGGCTTCTCCAGCTCCTACTCTCTATTCTGAAGGTGAGGCTGTAGTCCTCATGATCCAAGATGGCACCACAACGCCGGCTACTGCATCCACAATTCAGGCATCGGGGTGGAGGAAGGGGTGAAAAGGGGAGGCACACAACTCCCAATGAGAGCTGCCACATGCTCTTCTGCTTGTATTTAATTGACCGTAATTTAGTCTCATGGCCATACCAGTTGGGAGAAGCTGGGAACTGGAGTGTTTATTCCGGATGGCTGCATCCTTGTCTAAACTTGGATGTCCTGTTACTTGGGAAGAAAGGAAGACTAGATATTAGAGACAACTAGCAGCCTCTACTAAAAGGGTTAGGTGTGTTGGTGTTTTGTGTGTATGTGTGTGCGTGTGCCTATGATGTGTGTTATGTGTGTGAGCATGTATGTTATATGTCGTGTGTGTTGGTGGGCCGGGTTCTCTCCATCACTTTGATCTCAGGTGGACCTGTTACCAAGTCTCTCTGCAGCCCCATGGAGCACCCCTAAACCTGGCTTCTCTTAGGCAGACTCAGCTTCTCAATTCCACATTTCAAGGAACTGCAATTTATTTTCAGCAGCCACTGAAGCATATTAGCAGTGGTGATAGAGAGGGCTTGTAAACTGTTTTTCCATTAAGGTATTGCAGGGTGGCCATTATGTGAGAGCAACAATGTCCAGAGTTAATCTGGTAATAAATTCTCTTGGCCAGGAAGGTGTCATTAACACATAAATCCTAGGAAAAGACAGGACTCAATCCTGTGCACAGAAGGAAGATCCAGAAATACCAGGTACTCTGTTGAGATGGCCCAGGGGAGGCAATGGGCCAAATGCTTGATTCAGGGTTGGCTACAGGTGGTGTTGCCCAAGCATTTCAAGCCCAGCCTGGTAATTGCATAGATCAAAAACAGTTGGCCTTTACTCTCCCCAACCCACCCTTCATCACACACACACACACACACACACACACACACACACATCCCCGGCAGGAGCTGTACAGGTTCATGTCACTTACCCTTTAAGCCAGGTAGTGTTATCAGTTCCATTTTACAGATGGGAACAGATGCTTTAGGGAAGCTAAGCATCTTTTCTGGAGACTCACAGCTAGTAAGGGCAGAAGCCGTGGCTGAAGCCTTGGACAGCTTGGGTTTGGTGGAATCGTACTGGGGGTTAGTATTATTTAACTCTGTTCCACAAAGATTTGCTGGAAATGTTTATTCAGGTAATAAGTAGTTAATATAAGGAGCTTTAACGTTTGTTTTTTTTTAATCCTCATCCGAGGACATTTTTGCATTTACTTTCAGATACAGCGGGAGGGAGACAGAGAGAGAAACATTGATGTGAGAGAGACACATCTATTGGTAGCCACCCATACGATGCAAACCAGGGCCGGGGACAAACTTCAACCCAGGTATGTGTCCTTAGCAGGAACTGAACCCGGGACTCACAGGTCCATAGGCCAACGCTCTAACTGCTGAGCCAAACTGACCAGGGCAAGGAGCTTTAAGATTTTAAGAGAACAAACAAGCACAGAAACATCTCAAGTGCTCCCTCCCAAGTTACCGAGTATTTTTCATATTTGAAGTTGATCTGTGATTATGTCATAGCTTCATCCCAGGGTGGGGTATTTGTTCCCAAGTGCCATGGTCCCAGGAGCTTCCCTTGGCTGGGCATTGGGGTGCTTTATAATTTGGACTTTTCCTTGAAGGCTGGAGATACTGGGGGATGGAGTAGAAAGGACCCCAGCCTCTCTGGGGAGGCAGATCTGAATTCTGGCTCTGCCACTTACCTGTTTGACTTTGGACAAGAGAATTCATGTCCTTGAGCCTCAATTTTTCTCCTTCTATAAGACAGATTTTTAAAATATATACCTTTGATCAAGTATTATAAATAGTATGTAAACAGACTGCTGATTTCTACTACATTTCTAGGATACGAATTATACTAATAATGCCACTTATGGAGAGAAAATGTTTATCTGTTTTTATCAGGATCCAGAGGAGGCAGAACACTAAGAAGCAGAGATTAACTTTTTGCCACCTCCGGACCCTTCATGCTAAAATTTATTTACATTTAATTATTATTTCAGGCTCACCCGTATATACTTAGCATGGATCATTGGCCACAGACTCACACACATTGCCTCATGTATCTCATTAAAACTTTGCATCTTAATCAAAGATCAGTATATTGTTAATTTTAGAATTCAGAATTTTCAAACATTCTGGGGGAACATATATATCTCTCCTGCCTCTGTGCCTTTGCATCTGCTGCTTTCTTTGCGATTATGGCAACCACTTTTTACTCTTCTAACCCCTGCTCAGTCTTTAATATCCAGCTCAGGTGACACCTCTCCCAGGAGCCCCCTTTGACTCCTGTGCTATCTTGTACTTGTCCTTCTTGCAAGTCTCTTCCTCTCTGAATTGAAATGGTCTATTTACCTATTTGTCTGTCTTATCAAACTGTAAGCAACTTGAGGGTAGAGAACACCTGTTGTTCACTACTGAATCCTTGGTGCCCAGAACTGCCTGTGGCATATTGACAGACCTTCCGTAAGTGCCGGTTGGATTCAGGCTCCCAGTGGGAGTGAGGGGAAGCGACAAAGCCAGTGATAAATGCCATCACGGAGATATCAGCAGGCTGCTGTAGTCGTGGGAGGACAAGTAACATCTCAAACAATGGGGCAGTGGGAGAGTCCACTTCACAATACTTTTACAGCCCTTTCACGGGCATTATCTAATTTGATCCGCATAGAAGCCTGGGGATAGGTATATTGGAGGAATAAAAGGTAGAGTTTTTAGCAGTTATGTGATTTGTCTAAAGTCTTACAGCTGGTAAACGGCTGGATTTAAGCCAGATCTAAAAGTCCACTCTCCTCCTTAAAGCACACAGCGAATGACATCATCAACCACCATGTCCATTTGCTCACACCCTGCCTTACTGCTCTGTGGTCGACAGCACCCCTCCTCGCGGTTCTATTGACCAGGCTCACCTCTCCCCAAGGAAAGGCTTTTTATTAATGCATTTCCAGATAATGGATTGTCTTTGACTCTGTGGAGATGATAGCCAGGGCAGAAAGCTAATCTCATTTTATTCTCTTCCGATAATGTGGCTGGCAATAGGGCACGTGGGTGTTTTCTGAGACAGCAGTGACTTGCAGTGTGTGGTTACTTTTGTTCTCAGGCCCGAGAAGCACAGCCCGGAGGGAAAATGCGCCGTGGGCTCCTGTGCCGATTCCTGTGGCTTTGGCCCTATCTGTTCTACACAGAAGCTGCGCCCATCCAAAAAGTCCAGGATGACACCAAAACCCTCATCAAGACGATTGTCACCAGAATCAATGACATTTCACACACGGTAGGGAGAGTCTGGGGAGACAACATAGAAGTATGGCCAGCCCAAGGGGAAACTGGGACCTCAGAGGTTAGCTGAGGCCTGTGCAGTGACTCGGAGGGCCTTGGTGGCCTTGACTCCTCCTACTGCAGGAAAGCTGCCTCCCCTCTTCTTCTCTCCGCAGTCCCCACCTTCTTACTTTTCTTCCTCTCAGACTGGAATCCTAGTGCCTAGGACCAGCAGGAGCCCCAGAGGTTCTTGGTCCCATTGGCAGGTGACCAGACCCCTGAGCAGCAGCCCCTCTGGGGTCTCCATCTGTCTCTAGAATGTGCTCAGTAGGCCTTCTTCCCAGCTGTAGCTGAGCTCTGGCCCTTAGACGGTCTCCCCTGTATTGTTAGTCCTGCCGGCCTCTTTCACATACAACCCTCTGGGTATTTGCAAACAGCTGTCAACGCCCCTTGGGTCTTTGCTCTGGGATCCACAGGCCTAGACCTTTAGCCATTTCCCACTTCTCTTCACACCTCTGTTCTCTATGTGCAAAATCTAGCTAGTTCCTTGATGTCTTCAGCCTTGGTTTCATCACCTAGATAATGAGACTCACACAGTCTTCATAAGGTCATTATGAGATTAAATTAGAGAAAGCAAATGACCCCCTATAGAACCAGAACCAAGTGTTTCCTCATTAAAGGTTTGTAGTTGTGGTTTGGGGTAGTCCTCAGCTTTAAAAGCCTCCTTTTTGCCCTGCATGGACTTCCACGTCTCCTGGTCACTGTGGACATCTGACAGTGGCCTTGGGAAGGGAGACGTTAGGTGGCCAGAAGCAGGGACAGCTCAGAACTAGATAGAGTCTTGGGAATTTTACAGAGAGAAACCCTTAGGTCTCCTTGCTTTCAAAAATAGTCATTTGACAAAGCTGCACATGATAAGTCTAGCGTGTCCCTTTTGTGGGTGCAGGGAGTGCTGTGGGTAGCTGGGGAGGGGAACCCTCCTGGTAACCAGAGTTACTGGAGCAGAGGAGAGGAGAATATGACTGGAAGGGAGGAATTTACTGGGGGAGGAAGGGAATGAAGCTAGCTGGGGAGGGAGCACTAATGGAGGACCTCAGTGCCTGGGGAAGAGACTTAACTCAGTACAAAATAGGGAGTCATGGCTGGTTCTATAGCAGAGACCCTTTGGAGAAGGGAACAAACAGCCTGCGAAGGTTGGTCTGAAAGTAATGGGCAGGGTGGTTTGGGAAGGGCATGGGAACAACAGTCCAGGAGGCCAGCTTAGAGGCTTGGCAGCCACCTAGGCACAAGAAATCAGGGCCCAGGCCTGGATGGTGCAGAAGGGGGAAAGAAAGCAACCACGGGAACAAACCTCCATACTCAGTGGAAAGGCTGAGGGCTTTGGAGGTTGACATGTCTCCTGCTTTGCTGAGCCGTTGGTCTCCCTCTTCCTTCTGCACAGCGATCAGTCTCCTCCAAACAGAGAGTCACTGGTTTGGACTTCATTCCTGGGCTCCACCCTGTCCTGAATTTGTCCAAGATGGACCAGACATTGGCGATTTACCAACAAATCCTCACCAGTCTGCCTTCCGGAAATGTGATCCAAATATCTAATGACCTGGAGAACCTCCGGGACCTTCTTCACCTGTTGGCCTCCTCCAACAGCTGCCCCTTCCCCAGGACCAGGGCTCTGAAGACCTTGGAGGGACTGGATGATGTCTTGGAAGCCTCACTCTACTCCACGGAGGTGATGGTCCTGAGCAGGCTGCAGGGGTCTCTGCAGGACATGCTACAGCAGCTAGACCTCAGCCCTGGGTGCTGAAGCCTTGAAGGCTTGGAGAGAGCCTGTGCGGACAGTCTGTATCCAGGCCTCCAGTCCCTTCCTCTCACTACTTCAAGCCACCCTTCCAAAGGTCAGTTCTGCTTGGACTTGGCCACAGCCAGCTGCGTTATTCAGGTTGAAGGATCCCCCGAAGCAATAACAGGATCAACCAGATACACAGGCTCGAAAGGACAGGACTGTCTTGATGCGGACACAGAGCAGCCTTCTCTGCAGCGCATGAGGGCCTGAGAATTTCAACCGAAGTCCCCTGGTGGACCGAGGGCTGGCCCGTCCAAGGGAGTCTCTTCCATGGGTTATTTCAAGGATCCCCCTCCCCCAGTCATCTTGCTGATTACTCTGGAGGTTTAATGAGATGATAACCCAGCACAGTATCTAGTTCACAGTAGATGTAAGTGAACCTCCTTCCCTTCACCTCACAATTACCAACAGGCTTTAAGTGTCAGTGATCCGGGAGCAGGAGCACATGGGCACAAACTCACCCTCAGTGTTGACGACGAGGCCGAGTCTTTCCTGCTTACTAGTTTAGGTGGGGGAGGAAGGGGAGACCCAAGAAGAGGGCCAGTCGGATGTGACTGGAGCAACCTGAGTGGGTCACTTGGCAGCTGTGGGAAGTGGCTGGCTTCTGTGTCAGTCAAGCCTCCTTTAGCTGCCAGTGACAGAAACTCAAGGCAAACCAAACAAAATGTAAAAGAGAGAATGTTTTGGCCTATGTTGCTGAGAAGTCTAGGCCATGATCCATCTTTTACAACACTTTCCTTCGCATTTATCCCCAGGGACCTAGAAGGTGCTAGTGCCATGATCCACCCCAGTGCCCCCGCCTGCCTGAGGTGGGTCACAGAGGCTTGGGGATGATGTGTATGCCCCTTGGGTGGCCACCTGGGGCTGTCTGAGCTGTCCTGTTTCTGCACAGTCATAAGCTCGAGAAGTTCCCCCCGCCTCCCAGCCCACAGTGGCTCAGGAGGCCAGCCCACAGTTACAGGTCTCTGAGCAAAGGCCTGGAGATGTCACACTCTCCTCTGTGAGGTGACTCCCAGGGTCAGCACGGAAGGGCATGGTTCTCAGATTGCCCTTCCAGATCCTTTTCCATCTGCAGACATTCTCTTGCACTCCCCTGAGGCAGCAGCTCACATCTGCCAAACAGCTGGCAGTCTGGGGATAGCACCTGGCCATGTTCAACCTCCAAGGTCGGGATTTTTGCAGAGTCTAGTGAGAAAAGAAAGCCTCAGGTCAACCCAGAAGGACCTTTCAGGAGACCCCACCTCAGCTGCTTTTTGCACAACATACAACCAAAAAATAATTACACCTCATTTTTCCAAAAGGACAGAGCAATTTATTCCAGGCTTCAACGTCAGCATCTAAGTCTAGTGATGCCTGACTGCACAAATCCACCTGGGTTAAGTTCACTGGTACACTGTCATCCTCAGCCCCAAGAGGTCCTTGCCCTGAGAATGGGAGAATCAAGGTACCGAAGGTAACGGAGCCCCCGTACCCAGCTCTCACTTCAACCCCAGTTCCCAGCCCAGAGGGTGCGTAGCCCTTAGGCACGTTATGTAACCTCTCTCTCAATTTGTCATCTGTACATGGGAGGAATGATACGACCTCCCTCGTAGGCCTTCAGAAGATTAAATATGAAATGTTTGGGAAGCTAAGAGCTGGATGACTGATATACAAAAAGCACTTAATAAGTCATGTTGTTATTAATATTAATGAGTCAGGGAAGAAAAGGGAATGGGAATTGTGTAGCAGACAGCTGTGCTATGCAGTTTCCTTGCACAGCACCCCCATCTCGCCACGTGGTGCCTTAGGGAGCCCCTCGGCCCACACAAAGCCTGGGCCTAAGAGGGAGTGTGACAGCCCCAGGGGAGCCAATCTCAGCCAGTGGGGAGGAGGCTCTGTGGATCAATGCCCCAGCCTCCATCTCTCCACAGGGGCAATTCTGAGGTTCATTTTACCCAGAGGGAGCCCCAGGTGCCCACACCAGTCACCACACTGATGAGCACTCTAGATCGGCTCTTCCTCCTTTTCTGGCTCACTCTCCCCACCCCTCACTCCTGCTTCCTAGGGTCACCTCCCAAATATACCTTCTGTGCCAGACCCTCATCTCAGGTGTTGCTCTTGGAGGAACCCAAAATAAGACAACTGCAGAGCAAAAAGAGATGGATGTAGATACTGGGAGAACTGTGAAGCAAGGTTCCAGACCTGGCCGGGAAGCTCGGTTGGACAGAGCGTCATCCCAATACGCCAAGGTTGTGGGTCTGCCCCGGTCAGGGCACAAACAAGAATCAACCAGTGAATTGCATAAATAAATGGAACAACAAATCAGTGTTTCTCTCCCTTTCTCTTTCTTTCTCAAATCAATCCATCAATAATTTTTTTTTTAAGTTTTCAGAGAGGTACAGGGACCACACACCAAAACTCAGAGAACCCCTGGGCAGACCCAAGTAATGATCCCTAAGAGAGGAAAGAAGGCAGGGTCCTCAGAAAGAAGGGAATCCACTTCAGGAAAGTTTGACATGAGAAGAGAGCAAGAACAGGAAGAGAACCCACAAAACTGGGAGAATTATAAGATAAGGAAGGAAGGAAGGAAGAAAGGGAGGGAGGAGGGAGGGAGGGTGGGAGGGAGGGAAGGAGGGGAAAATGAAAGAGAAAAAATATATATAAAGCCAAACATCACCTGTCCTAGTATGTTCGGGCTGCTATAACTGAATACCATAGTCTGGGTGGCTTATAAACAATAGAAATTTATTTCTCACAGTTTGGAGGCTGGATGTTTAAGACCAAGATGCCAGCAGATCCCCTGTCTGGTGAGGACTCACTTCCTGGTACATACACCACACCTTTCCTGGGTGCTCACACGGTGAAAGAGGCAACAGCGCTGCCGGGCCTCTCACAAGGCGCTCAGCCCTTTCATGAAGGCTCTGCACCCACGGGAGCCTTCCAGTCACTTCCCAAAGGCCCCACCCCCACTTACCGTCACATGGGGTGTTAGGATTTAACATATGAATTTGGGGGGAACACAAACATTCAATCTATGCCATCATCTTATGATAACTGATTGGGGAAAAGATCAAGCTAAATCACAGGAGTCTCAATTATTGAATATTTTTCCTTTAAAATATCTTTTTGCAGTAACAGAACCTGATGCTGCAGTTTTTCCCCAGCCCCTGTTTGCTCCTGTCACCAGCTCACAGGAAATCATTTCTGCAGGGGTTTCACCCCCTCACCCCGAGCCTCTGTGGGCAGGGTCGCCGCACCCCGTGCCTGGCTGTGGTGTCTGGCACAGCACAGGCCCTCTGTTCTTATTTGAACAAAGGAACTGAGGCGCTTGTACAAGCCCATTATTTACATGTGAGCAGCTTCTGCAAAAAGCCTTTAAACAATCCTGATCATTAAAGGCCAAACTTACTAGAATTCTGCTCACTCTTAATTTGCTCAGCAAACTTCTTTTGCGACCAAAGATATAGGTCCAAACCAACTGTAAAAAGACAGCTTTGAGACAATGACAGAAATCTGAATATGGATTCTGTTTTACATGATGATAAGAAATTATTATTAATTTTATTAGCTGTGGTGATGACATAGTGATTCATTGTTTTTTAAATGCTTCCTTATTTATTAGAGATTCAGACTGAAGTTGTTTAGGGTGAAATGAGATGATATCTGGAATTTGTCTTAAAATACTTCAGGAAAATACATATATGTGTATTTCATTAAGTGCATATGAGATTAGATAAACAAGCAGCAAAAATGTTGATTATTATTAAAGCTGAGTGATAGGCACACAAGAGTTCATTATATCAGGCCCTCTACTTTTGGGTAAAATTTCCAGAATAAATATTTTTTGGGAAAGGTTCATTCGGCCGAGTACCACTGCCTCCTGCTCTGCACTCTGGGGAAGAAGGGGGGAGGGGGAGGGAGACTGCGAAAATACGATGATGTGCAGCCGAATTATACTTAACTTCACATTTTATTTCACTCCTGGCAGATGGCCCAGGGCCTTGGGAGGATGACAGACTGTCAGTGTGGGTGTGAAACAGCAAACTAAAACAGAGATTTAGCAAATCAAACAAGGAAAGAGTGGCAAGAGCCAGCTGCAAGATGCTGGAAAGGCAAGTCCTGATGCTCATTTAAAAAAAAAAAAAAAAGCCAAAGGAGCCCTGGCCAATTTGGCTCAGCAAGAGCATCAGCCCTTGGACCAAAGGATCTCAGGTTCAATTCCCGGTCAAGCACACATACCTGAGTTGCAGGTTCAATCCCCGACCCGCGGAGGCAACCAAGTGATGTGTGTCTCTCACATAGATGTTTCTCTCTCTCCCCCCTCTCCCTCCCACTCTATCCAAAAAAAAAAAAAAACAAGAAAGAGAGTGAAATAAGGGCCTCAAGCTCAGCCCCATCCCTGCTGGCCTCGGGTACCCCATGGAAGCTGTGGAATGCCCCTTCTCCCTCCCCAAGGGAAATCATGGTGTCCTCACTGTGGTTAGCTCTTCATATTAAATATACTGTAGAGAAAGAGAAGTCTCAAATCCTTGTCTCATTTTTCCACTTAAGTTATTGTAAGAAAAAAAGATTTTAAAGTACTTTTCTCCTACCTTCAAAACCTTGTCCCTGTCCTGGCCAGTTTTGCTCAATGGTTAGAGCATCGGCCTGCGGTCCAGAGAGACCCGGGTTCGGTTCTCGCTAAGGGCGCGTACCTCAGTTGCAGTTTGTCCCCGGCCCTGGTTGGTCATGTGGATGGCAGCCACTCGATGTGTCCCTTTCACATCAATATTTCTCTCTCTCTCTTCCTCTCTCTTCCTCCCACTCTATCTGAATAAAAAATGGAAAAAACAAAAAACAAAAAAAAAACCTTGTCCCTGGGGCCAGTACATGTTAGGTTCCCCCTTGGGTCCTAAGCCAGGCCCCTTGGCACTGAATGCTGCTGAACCTCAGACAGGGCCATGTTTCATCTCAGGCAGATGTCCCGAGAAATATCACAGATCATAAAACCAAGCTTGAAGTTGCCTTGGCTGTCCCACACTTTTTGGGCCATATTTCCTGAGGAAATGCCAATCCTCACAGCTTCACCTTGTCTGTTTATAAAATGTATTTATCTGAGGGAGAACTAGCAGGTGCGGCACGAATCATAGGAAGTGGGGCCTCCCTGCCACAGGTGCCCAGTCCTGCGACCGTCACGAAAGGGAAAACGGCCAGCCCCTTCCTCGCTTGAGCTTGGGCCTTGCGTCTGACTCAAAATCTAAAAGTGGTCTTCACAGCCCAGTAATTATTTGCAGATCATGACAACAGTCCAGGGATGCCCCTCTCCAGGATGGAGGGACTTATGGCCTTCCTATGTTTAGGGGAGCAATGGAGGGGTGTTATTTATTTCATGTATTGGATGATGGAAACAAGGCTTAGAGGTCCCAGTGCCCAAAGACTCACATCTGAGAATTAGAACCTGAGCCTTTTAACTTTCAATACCCAGATTGGGGGGGGGGGGGAGAGAGAGAGAGAGAGAGAGAGAGAGATTTTTACCCATCCCACTTGTGCCCTAAATGCGCACATACAGATTTTCAACTACCTTTTGTTTGCCATCCCATCCCTATGTCTCCATCAGAGGGAATCATTCTCCATTCCTCAGCTCTGCTGCCTTCAACACTGGCTTCATTCTCAGGTGGTAGCAAGAGTTACCACCAAAAACTCCAAGCTTCTACCTGCCACTTGGCAACTCCCCAGAAAATGCAACTTCCTCCTAATTGTTCTAGCAAAAGTCCCAGGGCTGACTCTCATTGGCTTGGCTTGGATCACATGCCTCTTGCTGAACCAATCACTGTGGCCAGGAGGCAGCAGTACTCTGATTGGTCAAATAGGAGTCATCCCAGAAACTGGGGAAGGGGTCAATCCCACTTGAGATAAGAATGGGTAAGGGGTAGTTTCCCAAGGGAAAGAGGGTTTTGTTACAAAAAGAGGGAGGAATGGCTTTTGAGAAGCGAGTGACAACAGATGACCCTGCCAGAAATGCTTTTGACCATCTCTGTCCTGGCCTCTCTGATTCCTGAGAGCCCTCTAGAGCCTTGTTTCAGTCTGAATTTCTTTCTAGGAGAGAAAAGAAAACTCATCTTGACCTTTTACTTATTTGTACAAAGAACCAAAACCAGTTTCTACTAGCTCTTAACTTCAATCAGATAGCATCAGATAAAAAATGACATTTGTCCTCAGGCTTAGAAGAAAGTGGAGTGATTGTCCTCGGCTCTGAAAACTTCTTCTGATAAGAATGGGGAATTTTTGTTATTGATTATAGTGGATTCAGCCTTGATACACAATCATCCAAATTGTCATTGCTTTTGTTGGGGCTATGTTATTGGTCTCTCTGCTCTGTCTCTTTTCCATTGAGAAAACCGGTTCCTTTTTTCCTCTGTTATAATGGAGCACATGCTGCTGACACTTTGTATTGCGAGGCATAGCTGTTCTGGGTGCTTTTCAATAAGCGTGATGATCATCATGACCCCTAATGGGGAATAACACTTTGCTCTCTAGGAAGCACTTTTCCACACGTTCCTATACTTGATCCCCACAATAACCAGGGCAGAAGAGTATAGTATTATATTCATTTCTTTTAGATATGGGAGTATACTCAGAGAGGTTAAGTGGTTGTCTGATAGTCACACAGCTATATTGCCTTGGGTAGCAGAAAAATATTGGCAAGTAATAAGCAGACATTTATTCAAGGCTTTATTTAACAAGATAAGGTTTTATTGCTGCAAAACTAATCAGGGCTAATGTCCCAGGAGAGTTAGTTTGTGGTGTACAAACTACAATAACTCTGAAGGACCAAAACACAAACACAGGATCACAGAGCCACTGACAGCCATGACCAGAGCCCAGCCCAGCATGTCAGCAGGTGGGCTCACCCACGCAGGTCTAAGAGGTGCAGTGCCAGCCCGCCCCCTGCAGAGCAGTTTGGGGCTCAGGACAAGCAGCCATACAGGTGGTTCAGCGCTGCGCAGTAACTCCTCCACCCCTCCCAGCTCCTTCTCTCCTCAAAGGGGCTGGTAACCGGACCATGGATGAGACTGGGGCTTTGCTCACAGAGAGAAAGGGGACACGTTTGGGGAAATCTCAAGCCTGAGTGGAAACTCAGCCTCATATACTGGAGGTTCCCTTGCAAGGACCCACGCCCTCGCCTTTCCCTCTGTGCCTGTCTTTCATTCTAAAGAGCCTGGTCAGAGAAACA